CCCAGTCCTGCTTTCTCAGGTCCATAATTTCCTTTTAAATCTCATACATGTGTCCAAATGGGCACCCTACTTTGACAACCTCTAGTAAAACTTTCAAGAATGATTTAAGATCTATTTTTTCCTCCATATTGTTTCATTTTTCTCACGTGAGAAGTTATGCTCACCAACTCATGGTGGAGGAACACCATGGAACACCACAGCCTGACATGCTGGTTGAGTTGCTCATGGGTTTGCAGTGCACCACCGTGCTGGAGAGGTTGAGGGACAAGCCCTCTCTGGTGGTCTGTGGCAGCTGTGTCTTGCCTTCAGCTGGGAGCATTTTGCAGCACAGTAGCTGATCTGCTCATTGAGCATGAGTCAGAAACCCCAGTCTTGCAGATAATCTGTGCAGCTCAAAAAACCATTAGTTTGTGCAGGAGGCAATTTAATGGAAAGCAGTGGGGTGCTTTTGTTCTTGTTTGTGGGTTTGTTTTTTTTTTTCCTCCTAATTATAAGGGTAATGAAAAACTGTTTGTGGGTTTGTGTTTTTTTTTTTTCCCTCCTAATTATAAGGGTAATGAAAAATGGCAAGAAATGAAGACTCATCTCTGAGATTCATTGTGTTGTGCTTAGGATGGTTAGGAGAGGGAGCATGAGTTCTGCACCTGGGATTGGCACTGCTTGTTCCACAACTGCAGCTGGAAATCTGCTCTTCTGTGGGGGTGAGCAGAAGCCAGATGACAAAACCCCCTGTTTTACTACACTGTTAACAAAGGATGTCCTACTTTCACCTGCCTTACAAGGCCCATGTGCAGATGTCTTTGCTTCTGCACTCACTGCCCTTGGAGTCAATTGGGTTTTGCTGGTGCAGGCACTTTTGGATGCAGCATCAGACTTGTGGTGAGATTTTACTATGTGAAGCAGGTTTTGCAAACAACTGGCTTTAATTTGAACCTAGTACCATTAATCATTTGATGGGGGAATGGTGCTTCTGCATATGCAATCTTCTGACAAGCCATTTAAATATACAGAACCAATGGAATGAACCAGCCTTGTACTTCTAGGCTTCCAGAATCCTCTGTAAGCATTATTTTTTGTTGAGACATGTTATTATTCAGTTATTTGAATATTTCTTGTTCTGAGTTTTTTTTTTCTTTTTAATACAGGTGACAGCCATCTTTGTGCATATAATTGTCACAACTTTGGGGCTGATTTAATGCAATAATCTTGAAAAATAGAAAAGACAAAGCAGTCTTAAAAACCGTTAAGACTGTTTTCACTCAAATTAAAGAGCTGCTATATATATTAATTGGAAAATTGATTTAAGAAGATATGATCTTGCCCTGGAAAAGTAACATCTACAGGAGAGCTATTCACAGAAATCCCCACCCTTGTTTTTCAGGTTCACCTGCAGCTTACTGGCAGCTCCATCACGTTTCCTTGGACGTCACAAGTAAATTCCGGGTCGTGTTCCAAGGTGTGAGGGGAAGTGGCTTGTCAAGTGGAGGCCTCTCTATTGATGACATCAACTTGTCAGAGACTCAGTGTCCCCACCACGTCTGGCATATCAGAAACTTCACACACCTCCTCAACACAAGTCCAGCAGGCACAGCAGGAAGAATATACAGCCCACCTTTTTACTCCAGCAAAGGATATGCTTTTCAGGTCAGCTTGTATGTGAATGGTACCAGCAATAACCCTTTCAATTTAGGAATTTACTTGTCCTTGATTTCTGGAGCAAATGATGCTCAGCTGCAATGGCCCTGTGCATGGCAACAAGCTACCATGGTTCTGCTCGACCAGCATCCTGATATTCGCCAACGGATGTCCAACCAAAGGAGCATAACAACAGACCCCCTGCAGTTATCAGGTCAGTGAAAATCAGAGATGCTAGCCAGTATGTTTAAAACACAGCCAAAAGATAATGAATCCAATCTGATCTTTGTAGTGCAGGTTTTTTAGCTTCTGTGATTTTTCGTTTGTTTGCAGCAATACTATGATTGATCCTCAGACAAGAAAAAACTGAACATACAAGTAGTTTAAGGTGGGCCCTTGGATTTCAAGGTCCCAATTTATATGAGAAACAGGTGGATGATCCACTTCTGACATTTTTCATATGATCTGTGAAGATGCATTTGTATCTGCTTTAATGAGAATGGAAGTGTTCCAGAAAGTTTGATAAGAAAAATACTGAATTAACAATACACACGGTTCATACCAGATAAAAGTGCAGCTATTAAACAAATCCCCACCCTCCTGATAAAAGGTCCAGTGCTGTCAGCACAAAGATACAGATGGACAAAGTACTGATACGTGTTACATAATGTGTACTCGGCCAAGGTGTGAGAAGATAAGGAGCAATTGTCCACAATAACTTGTAAAGGAGGCAGTTGAGGTAAAGATGTGACTCTGAGGTATGGTAGGAATCTCTGTAAAGAGAGATGCTGAAGAAAACCCCCATATTCATCATAGGATAAAGAATACATTTAAGCCAAAATGCCTTTCTGCATCAACATAAGGGTTTTGCCAGAAGAAACCACCTCCACCACTGAATTAGTTTCCTGTGCTTTCAGATCATAACGTTAGGAAGGCATAAAGATGTCTAATTCATAGTATTATTTTTAAAAAAATTATTTTCTTTAATTTTCCCATGACACTATCTCTCTGTGAAAACAAAGTAGGCAAGCTAGAAAAATGAAATGTCCTCTCTGTAAATGAAAGATTCACCACTCCAGGCCCTCCACAGAGGGCTGAGGTTTTCCCTGTGTTCTCTGCTGTTATGGCCACAGTGCTTAGACCTTTTCCTTCCCTGACCCTGTGGACACAAATCTGTTTGCACTATGCTCCTTTTTTATTCATATAGTGCCAGTTGCCCCAGATTCCCACAAGAAGCTTTGTAACTCCTACCCTTTCTCTAACCAGCAGAGGTGTTGGAGCAGCTGACTTCTCCTTCTGTCTGATACTTTCCTAGACAATCAAGCTCAACTTTGAGATGTAGAGCAGAGTTTGATGGAAGGAACAGCAGTGCCTTGTGACCGTTCAGGTTGTCCAAGTACCCTTTGCCCTACATCCACAGCAAGAGATGCTCTTTTTTGAGAAGCACTTTATTAATTCATTTTTTGGATGATTCATGTGCTACTCATCTTCTTGTCCACTACACTTTAAAAGAAAATAGAACAGATTTTCAGCTAGCTCTCCAGTAACCCCATTCTTTTCTCAAAACCTCAGGCTCAAGCAAGCTGTTGAAGATCTCCGTTATCTTGTGCATCTCATCAGTGTGGAATCTCAGGCAAAAAAATCTGCAAATATTGTAGGCAGTTTCAGCATTGAAAGTAGACCTTGAGTTTCAGGGAATTTATTGTCTTCTCTGTATTCATGACTTAGGGACATGGTTTAGTGGTGGACTTGGCAGTGCTGGGTTTACAGTTGGACTCCATGGTCTTAAAGGTCTTTTCCAACCTAAACAATCTTATGATTGTGTGATATCCATGAGCAGAAGCAGGCAAATTAGGACACAGTGTGTCTTGGTTGTTGAGAGAGGCCTCAGTACTACTTTGCAGCAGAGATTATCTGAGAAGGAAGAAACCCTATTGAGAAAGAAATCCAGAGTGGTCCCACACTCACATTCAGTTCATTTTTCTTTTCCAGGTTCCTCATCAAATTATCTTTGGGATAGGCCAGACAAAGTGGGGTCCATAGCAACTTTTCCCAATGGAACTAAATTCATGAGAGGCCCAGGAAGTGGAACAAATGCATTTTTAACTCATCAGAGACTTAGAAGCCGTGACTTTATTAAAGAAGACAGTATTTATATTCTCTTAACAATGGAAGGTATGTACACATAGCTGATATTCCTCATGACACAGTAAACACAGAGCATCACATACTTACTGAGTCACTAGTGCTGTGGGTATAAATACACACTATGTACTCTGCACATGAGCAGGTTTGGAGCTACACCCGTAGCTAAAGTCAAATCAGATGCTTGAACAAATTTGTGGAACCATATTTGTACTGTCTAATTCCTTTATCTCATGTGAAAGTGTATAAAACTATGCTAATTCTCTGAACTGTTTTGAATAGAGTACATCAAATAAGATTCTTTCTTTCTGAAAAAAAATCTAGAGGACATTCCAAAATAAATCATTCTCCTGAAAAGAAAAAAAAGGCTATTAACCCATTATACCTGGGACAGGCTCTTTGCTCTTTACTATAAGAATTTATTAGAATAAAGAAAAAAATAAAGACCTTATTTCTTGTGTTTTTATCACACAGATATATCACATCTACTACCAGCTCAGCCGAGTGTTTCCCCCACCTTTGATACAAATACAACAAGTGCCAACACCATCAAACCAACCTCTACGGCCGTGCCCAGCACTAAGCCCACCACCAACACCAACCCAACCACCACCACCAACAACCCCCCCCCCCCCAACAACAACCCAACCCCCACCAACACCAACCCTACCACCACCACCAACCCAACCACCACCACCACAGCCCCCGTCACCCCGACCAGGGAGCCAGAAGAGCAGGTCCCAGAGATGTGTCCAGACAACCCTTGTGAAAATGATGGTGTCTGCATCCTTGTAGACAGAGCACCCGTGTGCAGGTAACTGCCTTTACTCACCCTCAAATGCAATTTTAGCACGAGTCATCGACCTTCCTAGTAGAATAAATTTGTTCTTTATGAAAGGAAAGACAGACCACAGCTGGTTAAGGCAAATATTTCCAGCTGCTACTGTGAGACTGAACTTATGACCCTCCCAACCTCAACATCTGACCATTTGGAAGCTTGACCTTGCTGTAAATTATACTTTAAATGTATCTTTATCAGGAATGTATTTATCCAAGGTTATAAAATGAACTGTCCATCTCCTTAGAAGTCCCTGTAGCAAAACTGAGAAGAGTTAAATATAAATGCAGATGAAAGAAAAGAGTGTTTATATCACTAGAAAAAATGTTTAATACTTCTCAGGCAGGAAGCAGCATAGACATTATTTTGGAATTTGACTCAGAAATATTTAGTGCAAATTATGACCACGAATGACCAAGAAGAGTTAAATATAAATGCAGATGAAAGAAAAGAGTGTTTATATCACTAGAAAAAATGTTTAATGTTTTCAGGCAGGAAGCAGCATAGACATTATCTTGGAATTTGACTCAAATATTTAGTGCAAATTATGACCATGAATGACCAAAGTGTAGTTGTGTGCCTTTGAAACCAGGAATGAGGGCTAAAAAGATTGTTTGCCCTGCAAGAAAATGAATATCAACTTTTATTTCATTCTTTGTGGATGCATTTAGGTATCTCACCTGGTTGGTTAGTGCTGTTCCAGCCCTCAAACAAGCTCTAAGGCTGACGACAGCACCTTTATGTGATGCTGTGCCAGGGCAGGTGAACCAGGAGAGGCCCGTGAGGCAAACATCTAAAGGCCAAGAGCAAGAAGTCAAGATGACTCATTAAGTGTCACATCTCCCCATTTAGAAACCTTTTATAAAACAATTCTTGTGCAACCCATCAGAAGCAGATCACAAGTGAGTAAATGTCAAGAAGCTCTTCCAAGAAGACCAAAATAAAAAAAGTTTTGCTGAATGTTATGCCTGATCTCAAAATTATGGAAAGGGAACATTTATTTTCTGACATCTCTGGACTACTTGAAGCTCTAGTGCCTCTGTGACCTACTTTTTCTCCTAGAGAAGTGTGTGACCAGCAGTCAGTTTCCACTCTGACTTTCTATTGGGAAATGAACATAACATTTTAAGCTGGAGCACATCAAGTTCCCCCAACAGTTCTTGCAGTGTGCTGCAAACAGACACATTTTCAGAGTTAAATGTATAGTTCTGAATAAATAGTTCAGGCAAGAACGGGAAAACCAGCAAGATTAGGAATAACCAAAGTTAGAAAGACAAGGGCACATGTGCTGTCCTCAGTATTGCATATATATATATATACATTTTTATTAATTTTTTTTTCAGTTAGATCATTGACACCCTTATATGCTCATTATAAAATGTTTCAGAGACACTAGTGATGCTGGAAAAGGAGAAAGAGTCAAATCTTGCAGGCTGTTTTTAGTCCTAATCTCAGACAGCTTCTAGGATGTTGATTTATTTTCTTATCTTCTTTGGAGGAGGGCAGAGGCAGCTCATACAAGCTCTTTAAATTTGAAAAGAAGCTTCTTCTGTCAGTGCAAAGTTCTGAGCAGAATGTAGCACGTCTAAGAGTGGAGCAACACTGAGCAGGGAAAGGGGAATGTGATGGGAACATCTTCAAGTGGATCAGTCCTAGAACTGGGGAATTCCTGCACCTAGGTTTTGGTTCAGCTGCTCTCTGGTCAGCAATGCCCTGAGAGTCCAGCCTGTGGACTCCACCTCGTTTATCTCATGGGTTCAAACTGCTGCATAAGGTGAGCTGAGAGTTATAAAAGCAATGAACACCTGAGGAAACAGGTCCATGAAGTTTTCTGGAGGGTGGTTACATGTGGCTAGATTGGATAAAAAATAGTGGGTGGTGTAAAGCTTCTGGACCAGTTAATTTATGAGATTATTCAACTCCTTTCTATAAAGGCTTTTTAAAAATGAAGATAGAAGGGCTTTGTGTAAAAGCTGAGCATGACAAAAAGCAGAATTGCATCAGGATATGAGTCTAATTAGCAATAGTGTAAGCAAATACTACATGACAGTGGTCCAAGTGACAGCCACCAGTTTCATGGAGCAGAAAGTGAGTTCTCTATCAACAGAAGTGCTACCAACTTCAGGGAAAAGAAACCAGACAGGAGAACTGAGTGACCCAGAGGGGATGTCTACTAGTAGCAAAAGACCCTGTAAATCAGCTGCAGCCAGGCCTTAGGCAGTCAAAAAGGATCAGAACCTCAGCTGGGTTTTCTGGCAAAGGCTCCCTCTGAAGATGTGACCTATAAGGCAGCAAGAAGCTGGAAGAAGCATGCCCAGATGTGCAAGGACAACTTTAAAATCAGAGTCCATTTTAAGATTACTTCATTATTCTTTGGGATATAGAAACAGTGCATCAGAGATACCATTTTTCTTAAGTAGACCTTTTCACATCTTTGACTTTTAGGTGACAGCACACATTTGTTTTTTTACTTTCTAGATGTCCAGCAGGTGACAACTGGTGGTACATGGGAGAAAAATGTGAAAGAAAAGGCTCGACTCATGAAAATACTGTAATAGCTGTTTCTTCCACCATAGCTGTGTTTGCTGTAATGCTCATTGTCACCATCACAACTGCTGTGTGTCTGAAAAAGAAATACAGCCAAGCAAAGAAAAATGGGGAGAGCCTGGCTCTGGAAGAAGTAAGTATTTTGACTCTTTCAACAAATATACACACACACATATATATATATTTACTAAAAAGTAAACAATTAGATTCAGGAAGAAGTAAATTGGAAGATGTCACTTTTTTGAAGTCTGAAGATTCTAGAATCTAAAGGAATTAAGAGCTGCATGAAGCATTACTAATTTATCAAACACCAAAAAGTTCATTCAAAGCATGTTCTCCTCCAGCCCCTCTACTCTCCCAGCCCCAGTGGCAGCCCTGCATTGAGTGGAAGGGTGTGAACAATGGGAGTGATATTCAGTTTGTAACTAAACTGTGTTTTCCACTTAGTGGACTTGTATTTCATCTATTACTTCATTTTCTACTAAAGATCTCCCCTTAAAATCCTGGATATGGATTTTAAGACTATCTCTCCCACCTGGAGAATTTTTGTAAGCAAATTGAAGAGGAATGGCCTTGCAGACAGCAGAGCTCCACTTTTAATTTTGTGTTAATAGCCTTTGTGTGGTGTCCTGCAGAGGTGCAGTACATCTGTGCCATGACAGATACTTGACACTGTTACTTTATGGCCTTACAATAAAGAGTTTTGATTTCTTTGCAAGTAACACTCTTTTTTATACAGACATATCAACTGTTAGATGTAGGTTTGTTATTGTTGTTGTTTAATTATTTTTTTTCCCACATACATAGACTCAAACATCCTTCTGAAGATAATGCAAACAAGCATCAAAGACACAAGATGAGCATCAGTGGAAAACCACAGCTGCATCATTGGTCTTTCTATGGTGAAGTTGTAAGGTCTGGAAAATAATCCATCATCCAGATAAAATACTGTGCTAAAGTTACTGAAGTGCCTGGCAGTGTTGTGTGTTGCCATGTAATGGAGAAAAATGGAAATCAGTGGTGTGATGTGCCTGCCCTGTCCTTTAAGTCTGCCTGAACATGAAGAAAACATGTAAAACTGCATCCTGACTTTCAGTCAACACCATGAAGTCTAAGTCTAGGTTTGCTATCTTATCGTGATACAGATGTTTATAATAAAAGGGAGCTGGAGCTTGTAATGATGGGATGCTCTGCATTTCTGAGTCCTGCAACAGCTGCCAGTCAGCAGAGTGAGGGTATGTGGAGTGTGGAGCTGGTTGTGATCTCCTCACTATGAAAGAAATAATGAGTAATGAGGAAAGTAATAAATTAACCACACAGACACACAAACATTATCAAGGAAGTCACAACAGAGACAATAATGAGGACCCAGAATGCTTCAGCCACTGATTGATGGTCCATTAAAGGAGCTACTCAGGCAGAGCCTTCAAGAACATCAACCTGAACATCAATTTTTAACTGATAGGAAGGGGGGAAACGTGACTAACAGGAGTATTATGGGAAACCTGGGCCTGCTTGTCATATGGGCTATCAGAAGAGGCTTGTGGACTGATGCAAAAGTGACTATGAAATGTTTAGGGCAAGGGCCAAAGGGGAAGGATCACAGTGGATCAGAGAGGAACTAGTGTGGGAAAATGGTGCCAGCAACTGGAGAAGAGGCCATGGGCACTTTAGGTCTGGGTGGCAGCAACTGGAGGGATCGTGTTGTCTGTGGGTGTGTAAGAGGTCTAAGTGCTGGCAACTGGAGAGACCTGGGTGTGTTTATATTGCTTCAGGGAATTTAATCCTCCCTGTGTTTATGTATAATTCACTAGGAAACTTGAAGCTGGACTAGCTGGTGAGTTGGAGGAAACATCTGGAGGACTTTGAGCCAGTGGCTGGGGTAAGGAAGCCCAGGGTCCAGGCATGGAGACGAGGCAGATGGAGAGCCCCTGCTGATGTTCAAGTGACCTGTGATGGTGGGAGTGCCCATGTGATGAGTCTGTCACAGAGATGCACACAACCCTTCCACTGCCAAGTGTCACACTGCTCTGTCTGCTGGGAGGTGACCTGCACACCAGTGTGGGTGTGATTATGGATGTGGAAAATGAGGGTAGGTTTTCCCCTGAGAACCTCCATCCTGACTGGCTGGAGGGGAGGATGAGGAGGGGGCTGTCTGCACTTGTGTGGTAGTTTGGGTAGCATTATAGGTGGGCTGAGCTACCTGCACTGCTCTGTGTGAGACATTAGGGACCTCTCTGTGTGGGGTGGGTCTCTTGGAGGGATCCCAGGTCTGTTTGGCTTGGCATCACCCTTAATTTTTTTTGATACAGAGGGCTGTAAATCAGTGGGATTTGGAGAACAGAATAGTCATCAAATAGGAGAAGGGCCAGAGGAAGGAAAGTGTTCTTCCCTGAGGACATTCTGCAGAAGAAGGTGGCACTGCCCATGGGCACAGATCACACTGACAGTGTTTTGGAGGGGGGCTGCAAGAGGGAGTAGGAATGCCAGTAACAGAAATGTCAAGTCACACCAGATGGTTGCTAGACTGGTATGTGAATATGTTCACATTTAAAGGTCAGCAGCTACTTTGATGCCCTGGAATGGATGTTGATGATCATAACATTTGTCGTGCAATCTACCCTAACTCTGGGCAAGTGCAGTTCAAATGTAAGGAAGTTTGATGAGGGAATGAGTCTGCCTCTGCACAGCACAAAGCAATGAATGTGTATGCCTCTGTAGTGACACTATATATGTAGTCCTTCTCTGATTAATATTCTCTGAGATGTAGTTATATTTAAAGCATTCATAGCTGGTTTTATTAGCTTTTGTTGGAACCCAAAAATTCATGAAAACAGCCAGACAAAATTAACAAAGATTTGTCAGAGCTAACAAACATCCTGGATAGGAAGAGACCCTACTATAGCTGTCTTAAAATAACTTTCCTATTTTGACACGTCTTCATCAGCAATTTTCATGCAAATAATCTTCCAAATGTGCCTTCAATTAAGTTATGCACATAGATTTACATGGAGTTAAGAAGACATAAATGAAACTGTTCATAAATTCAAGCCTGGCTAAAATACTTGGCATTATAAACAGTGAGCATTTAATAATTTCAAATGTGAACCATGAGATTTGTAGCTGCAGAGATGGTTTGTATTTTTTTTTGAAATCCAGATTGCACAAAATGGCATAAACGCTTCCCTGTGCTTTCATCAAAAGAGAGCTTAATACACAGAGCAATATATTACAATACTTGGTACAAGCTACAAATTCCATAGGGTCCATCCTGAAATGAAGCATTTCAACTGGAGTTTTCTTCTTTATGAGCAGAGATGCTGTACTTGGATTTGTGATTTACCTGGTGAAAGCTGCAGTACCTCAGTAGAGGTCACCTCTTGTAGCAGCAGCATCAAAGGTTCACCAGCTCAGGTACTACAGCTTTCCTCTGGAGCTGCCTTCCTTCCTTCACAAAGGGTTTTTCTACATGGTTACTAGGACTGCATCTATTATTTTTTAATGAAACATCTTAATTTTTGAGATGTGGATGCAACACAGATGATATGAATATCCATCACAGCTCAGCTACTCTGTTGGTCAGTCTGAGAGCCATGCAGGGGGTTGCAGCCTGTGTGCTTGCTTGCCTAAAGATGTATTCACAGTTGTTTTACTGAAAAAACTCTAATGTAAACTTCTCTGTGGGGGATCACTGAGATATTCATTTGATAGGAAAACCCACCAGTGTTGAACCAGGCTCCACTTCTCTTTCCCATCCTTAGTTCACTGTGGTGATCCAGATTAAAACTTGCTCTGCCTGCATCCCTGCTCAGGCAAATTCCACTCTCTGCAGATCAAGACTAGTGTAAAAAGCCTGTTATTGGGTTCTCACAATGTGCAGAACAAGGGCTTGAGCTGTGGATAGTGACTCCTCAGGTCCACTGCCCTGCTCCTGCTCCTTATTCAAGTGTGGGTCTCTGCTGGTGCCCAGTGGCTGCTCCCCAGCAAAGACCCAGGCTTGAGTGAACGTTGTCTTCTCTGCTCCTCCTTTTCTGGGCTTTGGACTAGCTGTAGAGCTGGACTCAGCAGAGTATGTGCCCATTGTGTGTGCATGACTCATTCCCCACTGCTGGGTCTATCAGGAGTCACAGCATGGACTTAAAAATAAAATAAACCAAAGAGTCAAGGCAGTGGCTCAGGTTTGGAGGAAAAAAAAAACCAAAAAGAACAGGTAGTCTGTTCAGTGTGTTATTCTAGCTTCTCATCAGTCTGTCTTCAACAATGTCAGCATTGCAGGAAATCTTTTGGGCACGCCACCTAATACCTATGCTAAAGAGTGCACACAGCCTCATGTTCCTGAGAGAGGCAGGGCAGCCCAATTTCACTGCAGATTGCATCACACAGCTCAGCTCACTCTGTCTAGCTTTTGCACAAGGAGCAAATCATGTCTAATAGTCTGGCTGGCACTGCATTGTCTACATGCAAAAAAAGGGACTGATCCTAGACACCAGCTCTCTCCTGTCAGCTCAGCTTGTCAGGTGTTAAACCACCCACGCCAGGCAGACAAAGTCATTTTTTTTTGGTCATTTTTCTTTAAGTGCAGATCAGACCAGAGAAGTGGTATTTCTCAGTTTATTTTTTTTCCCACAGCTCTCCTTTTCCACTCTTATTAGAACTCTGGGGCTTTCGCTAAGGCACAGATGCCACATGTCACTTAAAGTGCCTTTAATTCTCCTAAATAGTTTGCTAATTCTCCTGTCTACTTGGACTGCAGTTTTGAGCTGTCTTCAGTGCCTGCAGTCATCTCTCAAAAGGAGAAGATCACCACCAAATAAACTGCTTTTTCTGAACAGTTAATTGCTCTTTCTCGAGTCTAGAGTTGATGACTTTTGTAGTATTTGACTCAGTAATGGCAAAATATCTGTGTTTTGCTCAGTGTTATAAAATTATGAAGAAATTAAACATATGGTGATCTCATTTCGCCACTTCTCTCAACTACATATGTAGTAATTTATGACAAAAACAGCTTTAAAGCCAAATTTTAATAATTTGGTTTGTGCAAGAAGATTATTATTTTTTAGCAGACAGATTCCATGTAGCTGTTCCTGTCCTCTCCCCTTTCTGAGCATCAACAGAATGAACTGGGAAACAAAC